GGCGAACCGTCGGGCGCTGGCGCGGGGCGCCAAGCACAAGTGAGGGCACGCGCGACGGCGCGAGCCACGGACGCGCCGCCCCGCTTGATGGACGCGTTTGGCGATTGAAGTTGATTTTCTGACAAATTTCAGAAAAAGTCAAATCGGTCGAATTGGAATTGCGAGCGCAAGGCTTTAATGAAATCGGGAGTTTCAGGTGATGATGCGCGCGTCGCCCGTGCCATGTTTACCCGTGAGACTGTGGCTGACGCAAATCAACCGTGATGCCCATGAACCTCGACGTGCGTGTCCTGTGATTTATTATTACACGCGAGCCGTGGCATTTGCTAAATAAAAGCAAAGAATCAAACTGCCAATCACTTGTCGAGATCGTGGTTTATTTTCACCAGACGAGCTGCTTGTTCGACTCACGCTGGCCAACACACAGAACTACAATAACAGTCGAGGAAACACCCTCGTTATTTCACAACACCATGGACTACGTTTTCGCGGTTGTGCTGCATAGCTTTCAGACATTTTTGGGTTGGGCCACGTGTCGTTCAACATGATGTCCGACGTTTCACTCTACTAGCTGGGAGCTTCTTTCAGGAACTAAATATTTAGAATGATTTCACACCGAGTAAATCGATACTCGGTGGTAATGTAGCCTTTATCGGTGCAGATGCCATCATAAGTAAGTCACGCACAAATCGGTAAAGTTCACAAATTAGCTGCCCTTGATATGCAGAGTTGTGGTCACAGTCGAGTAAGAGGAGCGGACTTTGTCCACGTTATCGTTTATATTTACCGCCCGTGTCATTTGGACTCAACAGATATGACTCGGAAAATGGCTTGGAGTGCAATGTTGTGTGCGGTAGAAACCGAGTGAGGAAGACGTAAGAGGACTTGAAAGCCTTGAAGAGTGGGTTTTAGCATCGAATGGAGAGAGATGGATAGAGAGAGCTTAGCTGTAGAGCAGGTTAGGGAGGAGAGATTAGCTGTAGAGCAGGTTAAGGAGGAGAAAAGTAAAATCATCTCAACAAAAAGGCAATAGATGTGGATCAGACAGATCCTTGGAGGCGAGAGCTCGAATGACGTTCTGAAAGGGCAAGAGACGTTGGGAAAGTGGGCAAGAGACGTTGGGAAAGAGGGTGAGAGACGTTGGGAGAGAGTGCGAGAGACGTTGGGAGAGAGGGTGAGAGACGTTGGGAGAGAGGGCGAGAGACGTTGGGAAAGAGGGCAAGAGACGTTGGGAAAGAGGGCGAGAGACGTTGGGAGAGAGTGCGAGAGACGTTGGGGGAGAGGGTGAGAGACGTTGGGAGAGAGGGCGAGAGACGTTGGGAGAGAGGGTGAGAGACGTTGGGAAAGAGGGCGAGAGACGTTGGGAGAGAGTGCGAGAGACGTTGGGAGAGAGGGTGAGAGACGTTGGGAGAGAGGGCGAGAGACGTTGGGAGAGAGGGTGAGAGACATTGGGAAAGAGGGCGAGAGACGTTGGGAGAGAGGGCGAGAGACGTTGGGAAAGAGGGTGAGAGACGTTGGGAGAGAGGGTGAGAGACGTTGGGAGAGAGGGTGAGAGACGTTGGGAGAGAGGGCGAGAGACGTTGGGAGAGAGGGCGAGAGACGTTGGGAGAGAGGACGAGAGACGTTGGGAGAGAGTGCGAGAGACGTTGGGGGAGAGGGTGAGAGACGTTGGGAGAGAGGGCGAGAGACGTTGGGAGAGAGGACGAGAGACGTTGGGAAAGAGGGCGAGTGACGTTGGGAAAGAGGGCGGGAGACGTTGGGAGAGAGGACGAGAGACGTTGGGAAAGAGGGCGAGAGACGTTGGGAGAAAGGGCGAGAGACGTTGGGAAAGAGGGCGAGAGACGTTGGGAGAGAGGGCGAGAGGCAGGAAACGGACGATGCTGCTAGAGGAAGCAAAAGGGGCGTGCGGTGAATCGGAGAAGCAGAAGGAGAGAGCTCGAGAGCGGACAGGATGGAGGCCACTTGAGCCAAAGGCCCACAACTGGGTAGGGGACTCGAGGGATTTGACGCCATGAGCCGTTTAAAGCCGGTTTTGATACGGCTGGTACCATGCATGACCTTCCGACATCGTCTCGACGTGGCGTTGGGTCCCGTGCGTGAGGAGCGTGTGGGTCTGGGTGGAGAGCCGTAGTGTCGGGTCCCGTTCGTGAGGAGTGTGTGGGTCTGGGTGGAGAGCCGTAGTGTCGGGTCCCGTTCGTGAGGAGTGTGTGGGTCTGGGTGGAGAGCCGTAGTGTCGGGTCCCGTGCGTGAGGAGTGTGTGGGTCTGGGTGTAGAACCGTAGTGTCGGGTCCCGTTCGTGAGGAGCGTGTGGGTCTGGGTGGAGAGCCGTAGTGTTGTGTGGTTCAGGATGGAGGCAGGTTGAGCCACTGGGGCAGACTAGTCGAGGAAACAACTTTTGCAAGAGTCATGCCGTAAGTTATTTAATTTTGTCTTTGTCATGTTGGTGACCCGGGTCACTCCTGGTCTGTTGAGTTCTCAGCTGGTTAACTAAAATCGATTTCAAGTGCAACGCACCGTACATGACGTCCCCGTTATCTTTCTGAAGTTAATTTGTAACACTTTATGGATCTGAACAGGCCTCTTTTGCGTTCAAGGACCACACTATACTGTGCACCTATTTACCCATTCCGATATATTGTTGGTTTGCATCGGACTTTGCCTCTAACCAGGCTCCTTGCAGCAGGCATGGGGTCGAGGAACACCTCAAAGGGGCGGGACAGGGTCACAACATTTCAAGCATTTTAAATCGGGCCCTACAGTCATACAAATTAAATCAATATGTGTTCCTCAGGTGATATCGACGAAATACCGATTGACAGCGTGTCTTGAGAAGGGGGTGGTGTTCGCCCCTATGGTAGCAGGGTGGCAGCACAGTGGTTAACGTTCGTGCCTCACAGCAAAAAGCGCCTGGGTTGGATTCCCGACGTGGGTGTCTTTCTGTATGACGCTTGCATGTCCCCCCCTATTCTGAGCGGGTTTCCTCTGGGTTTTCCAGTTTCCTCCAATAACAAAAATGTATAAAACTGTACAAGATAACGCGTATTGGCCAAATTTCACAATACAAAAAAAATACCTGCAAGTTATTCGATTGAGATCGCACACAGCAACATCGCACCTCCGATTAGCACGCTTGGCTACGTACGGTGCGAAAGAAGTTCAACATCCCGTACATCGCCCCCTAGTTTGAAAACTCGGCAGGGCCCTCTTGAACAAGAGTCTTGAGACTCAGTGAGGCTTTAATAATAATATAGAACCACCCCACCCACCCACCCCACGAGGCAGACCACGTGGGCCTTGCGGTTGGACCGACCAGCTGCCGCGCCGCTCGGAGCCAATCGCGTGGCTCGTAGCGACGGCTCTGAGCCCCCCCCCCCCCGACCCCCCCCCCCCCCCCCCCCCCGTGTGCCCTCGGGTGCGGTTGTCGCAGTTCGACTCCAGACGAGGCGAAGCTGACAGCAGAGGAGCTCTCGGCGTCGGTAAGCGATTCCACTTAAAATGTGGCACGCCGATTTTAACACCGCTTATAAATAAAACTCAGCACATTGTATAAAAGGTGAACATGTGGCCCAAAAGTCAGGCGGCGTAGGGTCATTATATATTTATTTAACAAATCACACTGGGTCGTTTAAGTTATAAGAAATGTTTAAAGTGACTACCATTAACTCATGATGCATTCATTCTGCTTTTAAATAAATTCCAGATTTTTTTTAAAGGTCTTCAGCTGAGTAATCTTTGAACATTCGTCAATTTGAATTTGTCTCCATTCACTCCGGGTTGTTGGTCGAGTTGTGTTAATGACGGAATTGAGGTGGCCTCACGGGAAGAAGAAAAATAGATAGTAATAACGATAATAGGTACAATATTAACTTCAAGAATAAACAATTACAATCTTTTAAATTCAAATGTTAAAATAAACGAAATAACCCGATGTGTCCAGACTTTTGGGCCACCCTGTATATTTCGTTTTAAGGCCACAGCGTTATTGACCAACGTGCTGAGTTTTGGTGTTGATTGCATCTGTGCACTACTTGTCAACGCAGATGCATCACCAAACACTTGGTGTAGTGTATCCAGTAATTAAACACACCTCATTTGTTCTAATTGCAAAACATCTCGCTGGACCTTCCGTCACAGAAGTGTTCTCAGTTTCATGAGCGCCATGTAAATGTCTGCGACGTTGAACGTGTCAGTAAATGTTGAATGTTAAGGCGTTGGCATTGACATTTTTCTGCGTTTCCTTCCCCTCTCTCTCATCGACTCGCTCCCTGCTCTCGTCCTGTTTTCTGCCTCACAGCTGCGCGTGCTTCGGCCGTCGGGAGGAGGACTTAGACCCCGGTTATCCGTCGCGAATCTGCACTGCCCAGTATTGTAAACGAGACGTGAAACGTGATTTGAATCGTGGCAACTCCTGGCGCTAGACGGAGGTGTGGTGCTGACGACGCAGGCCCTGGCCGTGAGGTGAGGACGTCGCGGCGTTTACGTTGCAGGACAAACACGTGCGCTCTGATGCGGGTCAGAGTTTGTCCTCTCCGTTGCATGGCTGTGGATTAATGTCAGACCGTCGCTGCTATAGCTATAGGTGCGCGTGCAGTATTTAGTATGAGACTGCCTGCCTCGCTCTGTAAGACGAGTGTTTGCACGGTGTTCGGCGTCTTGAGATGCTGAGTGAACGCACAATGTCTTGTATTTACGGGCGACTGGATGACGCATCGGGGAGATACCTGCCCAGGCTGATGTAGATGTTCCGCTGTACCTCAGTTGTTTCGTGAAAAGATTTAACCACCGCACCGCAGACGAATGCACTGTACGGTAATCCTGTCCGTGTGCTACCGCGGCTCACGTTGGCGGAGGTCACCGGGCAGTTCAAAGGTTCCAGCGCTGAGCCAGCACCGCTGAGAAGCTGGGTTCGAATCCGGGTTTCAGCTACCCAGAATGCCATCGAGTTTTATCCAGTATAATTAAGTTGATGGTTTCAGCCTGGTCATCAGAGATCCATATAGAGACTCGTTGACTCACATAGTGACTCATAGATTCACGTAAAAAATGCACCTCAAAAATGCACTTCTTTTTTTGATCTCATCCATTTTTGGCAAGCGCTGTGCAGTCGAGAGGCAGCGGGAACATTCACCGGGTGAAGCGGGGCGCCCCTTCTGATGCAACCCGTCGTGACGGTCCAGGGACGGCACTGCTGAGCGGCTGGCACAGTGACCAAGGGGTGATTGAAATCCGCTTGCTCGGCACATCGGGGCGGCTGGCGTCCGAACCAACAGAGAAAAATGCGATCTGCGGGGATCTCTCTCGTCCTTCTGCTGACTGCAGTCATCCCTGGAGTTCATCTTCAGACAGGTACATGTTCAGGCAGCGGTGGGGAGCCCTCTCCTTAATGGGCATCGAATAGGACCTTCAGATACTCTTGGTGCGAAACCACACGTGACTTTCCAGATTTGAAGCTTTCGTGACTGCAAGGATTCATACACACGTGACTTGATACTAAACTTTGATTGAACTCGGATTGTGCCCATTGACCGTGTGCTGAGAACTGCTTTTGGCCTGCTACTAATTAAAACACGGTGATTAGTGCGGTGAACATTATTGTGGTCAATATTGCTTGCAGTCTTTGGTAAATATTTGTTGGCCGTTTCAAAGTGGTAGGATTAATTTCTTCCGCACCGTATGTAGCCGACTGTGCTAATCGGAGGTGTGGTAGGCATCCAGTGGCCCCGCAAGCAACGTGAAGCGAGGCGGTGGGCCACGTCCATCGACGCCCACCGCTGGGTCAAGTCCACGGAGGTAGCGGACGACCAAGTCGTCTCGAATACGCTGCGGACGGGAAGCAGGGTTAAGCCCGGTTGGTAGGGGTGTCACCGTCCATATAAATGAGGTGTCTCTGCTTACCGCGCGCTTACGTGCATGCATGCGTGCGTGCGTGCGTCTGTAGCCGGTAAATTCTGGCACATCACGGACCTGCACGTGGACCCGGCGTACCAGGTGACAGATAACTCGACGGCCGTGTGCCCGTCATCCCGCGATCCCGTGCTCAACCCTGGCCCACTGGGCCACTACCAATGTGACGCGCCATGGGCCCTCATCCATTCGGCGCTCAACAACATGAAGAGGATCCTCAAAAACCCCGACTTCATCCTGTGGACCGGGTACGCCTCGGCCATCGCTCACCGACCACCGGCGGCGTGCCGGATGCAGCCGTCGGCACCTGCCACCTGACACGAGAGGTCACGCCGACTACGGCTAGACACGTACTGGGTCCAATACTGACCAGAAAGCTCAAGCAGGTGTCCAACCAGGGCGGAGAGTCTCGAGGAGAGCTCGAGTATGAGGGTGGAAAATGTGCCCTCTCATTTCACTTTCTGCCACCAAACTCCTGATTCATGCTCTCATCTTTACCCGGTCTGCAATTCTCTTCTTCTTGGTCTCCCTACCTCTGCCCTCAATCCCCTCCAACATATTAAAAATGTTTCCGTGTGGGTTATTTTCAGTCTCCCAATTAACCATCACATTTTTCCTCTTCTTCTACAACTTCCCTGGTTTCCTGTTGACTGCACCGCTGTCTTTTCAAATCCCTTACACTCGCCTTTAATTATTTCCATGGCCTTGGCCCCCCACCTCATCTTGCCTCCATCATCTCTTTTTATGTCCTCTCTCCTCGTTCACCATCTTCTCTGTCTCTCTGTCCCTCCTGTTACTTGGCCACTGGGGCTGGTGAGACAAAGGTGGCCGTTTTAGATATTTCTCACTCTTTGCACCCCTCCACTGGAATCAACTTCCCCTGCACATTAAGCAGTCCCCCTCCTTAACCTCCTTCCATTCCTTTCTTAAAGCCACACCTCATCTCCATTGCCCATTCTCTTCTTCTTCCATCTTCTCGCCCCTCCACTCCTTCTCGTCCCTCCCCTGCCCTCTCGTGACCCCTATGTGCCCTCTGTTATGGTCACTCATTCCTTGGACCTTGCACGCTCCTGCCATCTAAATCACTAAATTTTTGTTTACGCTTTTTAGTCTATGCAAAGCGCCTTGATCTGAGGCACGCCATAAATTTCCAAAAAGATACATGTCAACTGCATCCTCGACGCGTCAACAAGAGGCAGGGCTTGAGCTGTTTCCCTATTGGCTACAGCCACGAGGCCGACGTCAGACTTGTGGCACTGTTAGGGATAAGGTGAGCGCAAGCTGTAGCTTTCAGTATCTTCTGTAGAATTCGTAGCTGTAGAGTTGAGTGAGAGTGGAGGTTGTGCTGCTGTACCACTCTTCGATGAGCTTTTCGAGTCGTGTTGTTCGGCACGATGTCCGACGTTCCGTGTCACGTGCCGGCAGTCTCTTCCTTTGTCGGACTTCGTGCCAAACAACACGCGGGTGGTGACGGGGCCCAGCGGTAGCGCCGTTCGTTGCAGAAGTTCACGGTTCGACTCCAGCGGCCGCCCTGGTTAATACGGCGGCGGTGTGTAGTAAACGTAATCACACTACGCACCACCTGCTTCAGAGCGGACGTTAAAGATCCCCTGACGTCATTCACAAGAGTAGGCTGTTGTGTGCTGGCTTCAGGGTCCAAATTTGCGAAATTCGAAAATGACCCTGCAAGTTACTTCATTTGGGCTATGCACGCAGCAGCAGCAACAGCACCAATAATCACCCCTGCTGATGGACCAATGCCTCCCGGTCGCTCTTGCAAGCGAGACTATCCCATTATCTTCAGTTCTCGCCTGGGTTTAACGAAATAAACTTGAAATATGCGATACAACCCAAAAAAACCACGACGGAGTGAGTTGACTAGAGTTGAGAACACGCTTCAGGACGACGCAGTTAATGTCACGGGCACGCGACTGCCAGTAACTCCACTGCGACGCGTTCACGTCACCTGCTGGGGCTGTGATCTGGCGTCGAAGGGAGGCTCGCTGGGAACCGCTGGGCGTGCACTGCCCGCTTCCTCCACCAGGCAGGATTTGAGGGGCAATCTCACACAGCAGAAGCCATAAACCGACAGGGTTTGTACCTATTTTAGACAACAAAGGAGATAGTTAAGCTCACAAACTCAAGGGATGACGCAAGTGTGTAATGTCAGCGTTTATTTAATTACTTTCTTATCGTGTTGATCAGAGAGCCGTCGACGTGAAAACAACTCAAAATGTTTACGTTTTGAGGGTTTTTTTTTTGCATTTGAACCTTATAGCGGTACCCCGGGGTACCATAGTACCCCGTGGTCCCATAGTACCCCGTGGTACCATAGTACCCCGTGGTCCCATAGTACCCCGTAGTACCATAGTACCCCGGCTCTCGCATAATGTCCGTGATGCAGTCATTTTTAGTCTGTTGATAGTCGGCGACGCGGCAATCGACTCATCTCGACGAGCTGTACACGATGCACCGCTACGGTGCATGCGGGCGTTCAAGGTTTCAGCGCAATCGTCCTCGCTGTGTTTCGACAACGCGGAGTAGCACTGATTTCGGATTGATTGGTACCCCAGTCGCAGAGTTAAGTTACACCCCTGGAAAAAATAGCGTCCCAGAAATAAAATATGTAATTGCCTTGGCCATTTTTTATTACTTTGACTATACTTCACCACGCTGGGTCACTGTGGGTTAGTGAAGAAGATGGAGCCGTGAAATACTTTGTCTAAAATAGATTCTGTGAAATATTATTGAATGTTATTTCAATAATATTTCACAGAATGCTGGCGCGGAAGTTTAAACGTTGGTGCAAATATCTTGGGTTCGTCACAGTTGATTGGCAGGTCACACGTGCTAAATTGTGGGTCACTCCCACCTCTTCCAAAATGTCTGGCCCGCATGGAGGAGCAGGCCAGAGTACCGTCCAGAGGGGCTCTCGAGAGCTCCCTCGAGTGGAGGCCCTTCTCCCGGTAGTGTCACAAGCGAGAGATTACAGGGCTTCACCTCGATCTTTAATCCGCATTGTACGAGAGGCACCCACGAACCTGGTTTTCATTCTCCCATTTGTTTCGTTTGGCTGAATTTCAGAGATGACACTCCACACGTGCCTGACAGTGCACTGGGAGAAGAAGCCGTCCTGGAAATTATCAAAAACTTAACCGACATCATCACGGCAGCCTTCCCTGGTGAGTGATCGACACCATCATTTTCACGTCCGGGTTCAACTCAATACAACTCAAAAGCCGAGTGATATCCTGCCACTCAAATGAGCATTGAGGCGGCTCAAATTTCCTGTTTACAGCCCTGAGCCAGTGGTGGGAATCACACGCTCCTATGGTGGAGGTGAGTCTATCCATAGGACGACCATCGTTGACTTCCCCGCAAAGTGGTACTATTTTATCGACTCCAGATGAATGATAGGCTGAATGAACCCCCAAACATGAGTTGACCTCATAACCCTACAATTGAGAGTCGCTTGCTCTCCTGGTGAGCCACCGGGCCGGATAATATAGGTCAGTAATGAGTGTAATTTCAAGAATGTTCAAACGCCAGAGATTATATCCATATTTTCAAAGCCTGTGGAATTTCCTTTACCAGCGGCTTAGGACCACTGCCTGGGCAGTGGCGTAGCTACGGAGTGTGCAGACTGTGCAGCTACACGGGGCCCAAGGGCCAGAGAGGCACGGGTTCTGGGCTACAAAGACAGAGAAAACTGGACAGAGGGGCCCATTTCATTCCTTGCACCACCAGGGCCCATTCCTTGCACCAAGGTCCATTCAGACCACGCCAAATACGCCACCGTGCACAGGATAACATTTTGAGAAAATATAAATGTTGACTAGAGGGGCACTTGCAGAGCTGCGCCTTTACCTTACCTATGGTGTGCAGTCTATTGTCATGCAATTGAGTGCTGCATACCCACAGCTGTGGGGCGAGTAAAAAAAACAGTTATTATTTTTTTGGCTAAACCTGTGCTACTATACAACTGTTTAGATGGATCGTTTTTACAGTAAATCTATGCATGACTATTTAAACAACACCTACTACTTTATAGTGTTACATGTAAGCCAACTGGTCGCTTAGCGAGGCCTTCAGCTGGCAGTGGAATGACCATGGCTGATGAGGATGGCTCCTACAGTAGCTCCTGCCACACTTTAGCAGGGGAGTAAAGTTCGTTGCTTGCGCCCGACCCAAAGTCTCCCAGGTGGCGTGGGGGCGAGCTGCCTGCCCCCGTGTGGTGCCACCTCTGCGAGCCAGTGGGTTCCAACACGTTGGCTATGGGGTGGCCCCCAACCCCTCCCTGGATCCCCATGCCCCTCCAACTTCTAAGGCCACAGGGGCACAGAGATATCACTTGTCCACGCCTCCTGGTCAATGCGGTGTTTGCGAGGCATTTGCGTCACGTTGTGTAATTAGCATTCCTGACGTTCGACGTAAAACGTTCCAAACGTCTCCTCCACGGTACCCGTGCCGTAGCCTGTTGTAAGCGCGGGGCCGTGTCGCCGTGTCGCCACGCAGGCGTGACCGTGTACTCCGCCCTGGGCAACCACGACTTCCACCCAAAGAACCAGCTGCCTCCGCACAACAACAGCATCTACTCCCGAGTGGGAAGCATGTGGCAGCACTGGATGGCGCCGGAGTCCCTGGGCACCTTCCACAAGGGTAGCGGCAGCAGCACAACCACCCCGCGGCAACCACACAACAGCCACGCGGAGACGCGCGCGGCCAGTGGAGGGCGCTGCTGCCGCGTGGTGCGACCGCATCGCAGGCCCACGGGCTGGCATGGGGTGGGGGGGTGCTCAGGCCCTGCGCTGATGCAGAGAAAGCTCTTTGGGGACAGTCGCCAAGTGGCGGTGCCCACAAACATCATGCTAAATGTACCGAATGACACCATCCTGTGGACGCTGGCAACGCCGACCAAATATTCATTGTTTCATAACGAGTTTCTTTTTTAATCGTAAGACCCTCCACCAATCTGACACAGCCAAAGGAATTAAATTGGCACGCGGTGTTCAAGCATTTAACGCGACGGCTACTGTTGTGCCAGCTCGCTCACCGCTAAGCTGAAGAACGATCCTCTCAGCCACATTTAACAGCAATTGGGTACGACGTTTCGCTTGCAACTACGCCGGGCATCTTCAGGAAATTCCACAAAGTCAGCTTAAAATCCAGGAATTTGACTCATAAATCTATCATATTGGCTGCAAAGGTCCACTACGTGTTAAATATGTGTTTAGCGTTGAGTATAGAGAAGCCGAGCTACTGCTGCTGCTATTTTTGTTGATGTTTTACAGGAGCCTACTACTCCGAGAAACTGGTGGGCAGGGCGGGTCAGCGCATCGTGGTGCTGAACACGAACTTGTACTACGCCAGTAACGTGCAGACCGCCGGCCTCGCCGATCCTGCCGGGCAGTTCGACTGGCTCGACAAAGTCTTGACCAACGCCAGCGCCAACAAGGAGAAGGTAGTGGTCCAAACAGCACCACGCAACACATTACTACCATGAGCACGGTTGGCTACATACGGTGTGTGGAATAAGCTCAACATATATACATATATAACAATAGGTTTTTGTCAAGGTGTTCAAACACAAAACAGAATCCTTATTGAAAGAATCCTGTCTGCATTAACCACACACGTACTTGTGGTGAGATCCAGATTGTCTAGATGTAGTACAATTAGAGTAATGTTGAGAACAAAGATGGAGACATGGAGACAAGAGAGAGTTGCGAGATATGAATTCAAATGTTTGATGTTCATTATGTTTTAATGTTTATTTGTGTCTGAATGTGCGCTGATATTTTAAGCACTATATTTTAGCGAATTCAGGGTCCTTTGAGCTTTTGCTCCGTTTACTTGTGCCTGGGGCCGCCCACTGGTGGAATCAGTGACCCGCTTCCCTGGCACACGTTCACACTCACACAGGCCCTGTCTTGTCCACCATTGGAAACGCCAATCCTGTTGATGACCACGATACTCGCACGACGTCGCGTTATCCGACGCTTCTGCATGCTACGCCGGGTTCTGTCCGTAGAGGGCACAGGGACATAGGCTCTGAACTCCTCGTTGAAGCCGTGTTCAGGACAAGGCTTGGCATGTGGTGGAGGCTTAAATGTCACAGCGTCTCAAAGCGTTTCACATCAAAATAAAAACAATGCAACAACTGCCAAGTGGGTTAAAAGCTATGTATATTTTTAAATATATCACGAAATTAAAACCAATATAAATTCTGGGTTGCAAATCCATGAACAATTACAGACTAATCTGAATAATGGTGTCAAACATGAATTTACAGCCCTTTCTCAATCCACTGCTGGATTGAAGGCCACCCCACGCCGTGTCGGTCATGTCGGCTGTCGTACTTCACCACCCTGGTGGAGGGGGGGGGGCCCAGGACCGCATCAGATATCACTCGCCACTGATGTGAGCTGTGGCCAGGAATCGTACTCACGTCGCCAGATTCGCAGTGCAGTGCGAGAACCACTGGATATTCAGTACTGGACATGCAGATGAAGTATGTCATTTGGTTATGGCAAATTGCTTTATGTACCTGTTTTGGCACGCAGTGATTAATGATCCATCCAATGTTTAAGAATACGTCTGCATAACGGGGTCTTTAGCGATTGCATACCTTTATTTTTAGCAGGTTAGAACTCCCGAACAACAAAGCTTTCAAGGCAGCAATCACTTTGACAGCCTTCATCCCAACTGCCAGGCACAACAGCCAGAACCCAACCTATGCACTCCATCCTGACGCCCGTCTCAATGGCACGCCAGGGGGCACCCGCCCCCAAAGGATGTCATTATGTTAGACATATCATCAAGAAAGGGGGGCAGCCTCTGCCAGATGGTCATGAGCCTTTAAATTTAGCACAGGGGCGGTGGAAAACCCACAATCATGGGCTAAGCGTGGTTGATTAACGCATTGTGATGGAGCGGCGAGAAGCTCGCTGATGAAACGCACAAGAGACACACGATAACTTTTATTTTATTTTACCAGGTGCGGCCCCACTAAGCTATATGGCTCTATTTTTTAACAGCGACCTAGCCACAAATGATAGGTCAACGAAGTGGCTTATCATGTGGAAATGTATAGCAGCCAAATACTAGAAACACATGTTTCTAAATGTGGAGGGAAAAACCAGGACTCGGAGAAAAATCCACGCAACCACAGGGAGAACACACAAACTCCAAATATACAGGCGTCAGGTTCGGGATCGAACCCATGACCTCCTGTATACCAGGCGAGGTAGTTAACATCTCGCTACTGTGGCGCCCGCACACCCTGGCCACACAACACGAAGCCACAGCAAGACATAGCACACACGGGCAGCGGTGGTGGTGCTAACTGGGTGAGGTCAGGCAGCCAGGGAGCCAGGGAGAGGTTTCTTCAGGAAGAAGGAGGTGTCATGTCTAGCCTAGGCGTCGCACAATAAAGACGATTCCTCTGGGGCTAAACGCGGTACAGTACGAGCTTGGGTGGAGCGGTGGCGAAGCGGTGCCATGCATTGCACTCCGATTTACCCGGAGGCCCGAGTTACATTTCTGGCCACAGCGTCAGTGGGGAGTGATTTTTTAACCGGTTCTGGGAGCTCACCCCCCCCCCCCTTCATTCACCCGCACTGACCAGCGTGGTGAAGTATGGTCAACAACCCCCACGACTGACACGGCATTGGGAGGCATTCATCAGAAAGACTGTACATCTGTAAACGACACTCACTTGCAGTGATGTCATAATTATTCAATACAGCGAGTTAAGAGAATCCATCTATACAGCAGCAACAGTGCGGTAGATCTATATTTATTTTATTTGTATTTTCAGACAGAGAGAACCAGGGGAAACAACCTTCAAATGATCGACGCGAAACAGCGTAATGGCAGCCCCTGCCAGGGGCGGATCTAGAAAGTCCCCGAGGAGAGGCTTCCAAAATACAGAGCATCTTAAATAGGGCCCGACGTGAATAATGTACTTTATCTGGTAAATATCAATACAGTACCGAGTTTCGGGGTCTCAACGGGAGGGAGGAGGGTGATTGCCTCCATCCCCCCACCTTGGATCCGCATTGCAGCGGTTGAGACGAGATCTTGACAAGAGGCGTTTTGGGGTGTGCAGAGGCATGCCAGCGCCCGACCAATCCAGAGGCTGAGATCCTCTCCCACCGCCTGGACTGTGTGCTAACTCGCCAGGTGTTCATCATCGGCCACGTGCCCCCCGGCATGTTTGAGAAACTCCGCGGCAAGGCGTGGTTCACGGAGGAGTCCAACCGGCGCTACGTGCAGCTGGTGCTCAAGCACCACGCCGTGATCGCCGGGCAGTTCTTCGGGCACCATCACACGGACAGCTTCCGCCTTTTCCGGGACGAGCGGGGTCAGTGAGACGCGGGAGGGGTCGGGGAGACGCGAGGTCAGTGAGTCGCGGGAGGGGTCGGGGAGACGCGAGGTCAGTGAGACGCAGGAGGGGTCGGGGAGACGTGAGGTCAGTGAGTCGCGGGAGGGGTCGGGGAGACGCGAGGTCAGTGAGACCCGGGAGGGGTCGGGGAGACGTGAGGTCAGTGAGACGCGGGTGGGGTCGGGGAGACGTGAGGTCAGTGAGACCCGGGAGGGGTCGGGGAGACGCGAGGTCAGTGAGACCCGGGAGGGGTCGGGGAGACGCGAAGTCAGTGAGACGCAGGAGGGGTCGGGGAGACGTGAGGTCAGTGAGACCCGGGAGGGGTCGGGGAGACGCGAGGTCAGTGAGACGCAGGAGGGGTCGGGGAGACGTGAGGTCAGTGAGTCGCGGGAGGGGTCGGGGAGACGCGAGGTCAGTGAGACCCGGGAGGGGTCGGGGAGACGTGAGGTCAGTGAGACGCGGGAGGGGTCGGGGAGACGTGAGGTCAGTGAGACCCGGGAGGGGTCGGGGAGACGCGAGGTCAGTGAGACCCGGGAGGGGTCGGGGAGACGCGAGGTCAGTGAGATGCAGGAGGGGTCGGGGAGACGTGAGGTCAGTGAGACCCGGGAGGGGTCGGGGAGACGCGAGGTCAGTGAGACGCGGGAGGGGTCGGGGAGACGTGAGGTCAGTGAGACCCGGGAGGGGTCGGGGAGACGTGAGGTCAGTGAGACGCGGGAGGGGTCGGGGAGACGCGAGGTCAGTGAGACGCGGGAGGGGTCAGGGAGAAGCCAGGGGGGTCAGAGACGCGGCTGGTCGTGGCACAGGGGGTGGGTTGGAGGAGGAACTTCAGATATGGCCCCAAAACCGCCCTCCGCGTATGAGAAAAATTCAACACATTTGTCAAGAACACCGTGGATTTAAAAAAAATGAATAAAATGTTGAAAATAGGAGACGTTTCTGGCAATGGCCTTCACGGCACGTAGAGAGGCCAGAGGGGTAGAGTCACTCTTACCTGGAACGTCGCATACCATATACACTGTGTACGCTTTCAGGTAAATACTAGCGTCAAGAAGGCATGGATTTAAATGAAGATAGGCGCCTGTGATTAAACCGGCTTCTCAAGCGTAGTGAAGTTGGATTCAGCCCGGTCACCAATGACTGCTAAAAAATCCCCGATCGCATTAAATGTAGTCCCGCACTCGATTTGGTTGTTATTGTGACAAACATTACTCCGTGGCACGGCTGGTGGGAAGGTGCTGCCACCTCTTGCGTACCAACAAAGGTCACTTGAAGAGATCTCAGACGTGGCTCTGTGAAATCCGCTCCCCTGGGCCGTTCTCAAACACGAAGGGGTTGCGTCGCTGCGCGAGAGATCCGTCTAGATGCGTGGCCTCATCGCGTGACAACGAGCGCACAATCGGGATACACTCGGGGGGGGGGAAGGGGCGAACTGAGTGCGAAGGGACATTCGAAGGGCGTGCGGTGAGAGGCAGGGATGGCGTGACGAGCCTCAGTCGGCCCGGCTACCCGTCAGCGTGCGTGCCGTGTGGCTTGTGAGGGGTGCAGGCAACGCCGTGAGCTCCATGCTCATCGCCCCGGGAATAACGCCCTGGAAGACCACGCTGCCTGGCGTGGACGATGGCGCTAACAACCCCGGCATCCGAGTGTTTGAATACGACAAAGCCACTCTGCAGCTCCAGGTGGAGCGACTCACGACGGCCAGGGGCATCGTTCCTGCCGCACAAACACGACAGCGCGCACGCGCATGTGGGACGCACCACAAATATTTCACTTGTCGGTATCACCCCAACTGGAAAAATGTAATAAACATTTTTTGACCAACAATCACCATGATCAAACTACTGCAGGATAAAGGCCACATGACTCTCTTATTGGCCATGAGAATATAACATTGATATAACATTTTTAAATGCATGCCTATACATGCATATTAGTACACACAATGGACAGGGAGTACAAGATCAATGGGCTCGCATAATGCACATGAGTTATGTACGTTCACTCATTAATCCCCCCCACCCCCCCACTTTGCGCAAGAGCGCAGAAGCGTGGTCACCACATCTACGCCTCTATATAAGGAACGAGGCAGGTGGACTTATCCACAAATCTGGCTGTCGCCTGATGAAGCTAGTTGTAATTACTGGCGAAACGTCGTACTCAGATTGTAAATGTTGTGGCTTGGCTCTCCAACACACCGGTGTGCTGTACTAGTGACGAGTTGGCACGTTCCGTTTACGTGACAAACCTTACTAATTGACTGTGTCGGGTGGTGGCGGGTTTAACGACACATTTAAAAATGTATGCGATCTAACCCCGAAAAAACACCTGATTACGGGTGATATTGGTCGCGAAAGCCTCCTGCGTGTTAAACCGGTTTGTACCTTGGCTCATGAACGACCATTGTGAAACGAAACTTCATCTGCGCTCGACTGCCCCACGCTCAGGTGCCAGGGACCAAGCCTTGCCCGTAGGACAGCCGCTGGTGACTTTCGACCAAAGTGGTGAAATCTCAGATACTATCGGCTGGACGCAAGAGCAGTGCCTAATGTCATCCGGGTCAGCAACCCAGGCCACATGTCCACACCCAACACACATCTCCAGTAAAACACGGACGGCTGCCCACCACGTGCCCATTCGGAGTCGCACTGCTCGCCTTTGGAACTCCCTCCAGTGGTTTCTTATGCCAAGTTCGTTATTACCCCTCTCTCAATTCAAGAAGCGTATTCACACTTTAAAGTTACACATTAAATACTGATTTTTTTTGTTGCTGGCCACAGAACTTAGAGCTTTTGCTAAGCAAATTTGATGTAAAAAAATTGTATCATTGAGCCCAGAAATATTCCAGAATACTGTACAAGCATAAAGCAGTTTGACACGAAGGCTTTCGCGACCCATATTATTCGTAATACTGTTCAACACACCGGTGTGCTGAAGCAGTAACTAATTGGCACGTTTTGTTTACGTGCCAAACCTTACTGATTGTTTGATGGGTTAACGACGCATTGTTATTTACGCGATCTGACCCACAAAACCTTTGTGAAGCAGGGCGCAGGAGGCGTTAGTCTAATCTGACGCTGGCAATGTGCGTGCAGGATATGCTCACGCACTACATAGACCTGCAGACGGCAAACAGCGGCAACTTGGATCCCGTGTGGAGCCAGGAGTACAGCCTTCGCCTGGACTTCTCGGTGCCGGACGCGTCCACGGCCGCGCTCGACTCCTTGCTGCAGAAGATGAACGCAGACCCGGACTTGTTCCAGAAGTACTACAACTTCAACTCCGTGAGCTACGACAAGAGGGCGTGCGACGCGGCGTGCCGGGACGACCACTACTGCGCCATCGGGGAGGTGGACTTTGATGCCTACGAGGGGTGCGTCGACCTCCGGAGCGCCGCGCCTCCTCGCGCGCCCCTTGGCCCCGCGATCGCGCTCCTCGCTCTGTCTTTCACGGCCCTGGGTTAAACAATTCAGAGAACCGGTGCACGTGATTGAAATGCTAGGATTAAAACCCCCACCACCGGTAGAATTCTTCTTTCGTATGGCCTATGAAGGGCAACTTTTTGGAGATTCAGACGAAAGCGATTTAGCGAACCAACCACGTTGACTGGGTGAATTGTCGATGCAACCGCCCACTGCTTCGCTGTCTGTTTGGGGTACTGGGAGGTGCTGTGGTTCATGGGTTGGAGCCCGAAGCAGCAGTCGCACGCAGGACGTGTTCGATTTCCCACTCGTGCATCAGGGTTTTTTTATTGGCACTGGTAAAACCCATTGGGCAATGAGTAACTTCCATGGGGAACTGGTTTCAGCATATAAATGTTTACATTTCTCGTGGTTTGTGGTTCCGGTGAAGCGGTCCAAATCTTTGCCAGTGACACCACCTTATAAAACATATTAGGCTGCACATTGCCGCCAAACATAAAACAGTACATTGAATATCGGACTCACAGCCCAAGGTGTCGCTAGATGTGCGAACGTACAAGTGACCGTCACACGGTGGAGGCTACTGGCCAAAGAAAAAAATGCTTGAAGCAAGACGCAGTTTAGAAGCGAATGTACACGAGAGAAAACTATCAAAAATTAATCTTTAACATCTAAGAGTTGCACCACAAAATATTGACTGGATGTGGGTGGATAATTGGTTCGGGCGGATGTGTGACGTGCTGTGTGCACATACGACAGATCGGTGTTTTTGAAGAATGAACTTAAGTGCCATTGCCCGAAAGGTTAATGAAGGTAGCGCGTTTTTATAAATCGTAGTTTTACACCACCGCCTATGCAATGTCTTAAATTGTTTTTTATTTAAATATGAAATGCCTTGTCAATGTAACTTGAATCTTCAGAATTTAACAGTCGTCAATTTCCAGACCAAACGTGGATTTGCATAGTTTCACTATTGGGTTGTTTGTAGCATCTTACAAAGCAACTTTATAACCCAGGACATGCTTACCTTCTATAATTATAATGGGCTAAACTTAACATTGACACTGTACCAAATCCATTTCTGGTTACAAGTGGGCAGACAATATTTGCCCATGCCTGTCATCGCTCACCAACACTTGAATGTAATTAAGGGAAATAATACAAATACAAAACACGCATTCTAATCAGCAACTTTTCCACAGCAAGTGGGCAATAAAGGCACATGAGAGACGAAGTGTTTTCTTTGCGCGACTGAAACTTCATGTTCAGACTTGACAAGCTTTCTGAACGCATGGAACAGTGTAAAGACAAGCAGGTTTTGGCTTTATTGGAAAAATGTGAGTGGATTGGCATACAGAACAAATGCAAAAATGAACTACACTGCATCGAAAACAACACAGCATCATGCGGCCCGCCCAGTTATTGAAGCAAGAGTCTGAGTTTAGGGAAACTCGATCAAAAGCAAATGGCTTCATGAGTGGCTAAAACTGCTTCAACCGAAAACACAAGGTGGAATCTGATATTCAAGTCTCTCCAGTATTGTATTCAGATATATATTTTCATGTCGTATACTGGTCATAGCTATACATTTTAGCCATACATATTAGCTGGCCAAATGAGTTCAGAAGATGTATAAATATAGTTTGGTGAAACTCACTTAACCAAAACGCAAGTTAGATGGTGTTACGATGTACTTCTGTATACGGCGAGCATCCGTACGAAGGCTTGCTTCAAGATAGAAGACCTTTCAGCACAACAGTATTTCCAAAACCCAATCATCCAAACAGCTGTGTGGGATTGTCACCATTGAATACAATGGCTTGTTCAAAAATAAGTCCAATCCACACAGCTGCAATTACACAGATGTCAGGACAGCAAATCTGCACTTCAGAAATACTATTACGGCTAGTGCATCTGCCCGATATGAATGTATGACACGTGAACTTGTAACTCAAGAGCTATTTGAAAATGTAGCGAGATGCTAACAGTTCGCAAACTCCGTTATGTAATTAGCAACTGAATAAAAAGTCAAAACTGCAAAATGTACGAATATTCAATAATCAATTTATATAGAATGCTCTGCAAAGCAAGAGGAACAATGTATCCATTTTCACGCGTGCTCGATTTTATAAAGATAAACTTTTGGTTAGTTCCAAACAGTCACACAAAGTGAAACCACCAGTCGATCACCCTCGCCATGCAAAACACTCACCAAATCCACCCACATAAGTTCAATCAAGAATGTTATCAAGATTTCCCTAAGCAGCAAATGAATACATTAATAATGAACTCTAGAAAGCACAGTATTAGCATCACACCAAAAGGAGTTAAACGGTATCACTGTTAGTAAATAAGAGCAATTTATCCATAGTCACCAAAATGTGAAAAGTACTGAGCAGCCGAGACGACCCGTAGCAGGCCAAGGAAACACTGCAAAGGCGCTGCTTGGTACACACAGGCGCTCCCCAAACACGGTTTACATTCAATGCACGCCCACGCACTGTTCTTAAATAACTTTAACAGCCAGCATGGCAGATGCAGTGGTGGAACAGTTTCATGCTCAGGTTTGAAGATAAAATTAGTCCAGACCATCTGTAGCTATTAGTAAAACATTGGCATACATGTGTTGTACACTGAGACCCAGATTTGTGTTCATTCGTTACTGTAAATATATACGCTATGAGAGAGTTATGCTTCCGAAGTTTAACTGCATCAGTTTGGGAAATAACACTTTAAATTGGCTCGATGTGGAACCCATGTGTACTGGGCATAAAGGGCACAGCACCACTCTTGGTCTCCACAAGGCATACACAGTAGAAACCGACAAGCTGAGGATGTAAAATATTGGACCCCAATAATTGAAATTGTTCATTTGTCTTGAAAAGATAGCAAAACAAATACCACAAACATGCATAAAATAGTTACCATTTACTAGCCATCAAATTAAATATTTTAATTAGAATTGAGGAAGTGAAAGTACTTATTACTACAAGTATATTGATGCATGCTATAGGCTCAAGTGAGCTACTGCAATTTGACACGATGTGCTTACTTAAAATGTGATTCAAATGTTAACATCGGCACAGTATTATAAAATGATTAGCCAAAAATGTGTTCTAGAAAGGCTTTATTATAGTTGTGTTCATGATTGTATAAATCTGTCCCGAAAGGTTTCATTATACAGGATACAAAAACATCCAGAGAAACCAGCTGGTGACCTGAGACAACATCTCAAGATCTCCAGCATCCTGTTTTCTAGATTATCAATCGCACCACAGGACACATGATACTCAAACACCAACCTCATAATAGGTACATACACTCATCTTAAGAGAATACATACTGTGATCATTACATAGCAAAAACAATGGGATTTAAGTGTTAAGGACAGTTTAACAGAAGCTAAATAATGCAATGGGCTTTAATAACTATCATGGTAACAAGCTAGGTGCTATCCATGCCTTTCCTTCATAGACATCATGACAGGCATTGCTTTCTCTGGCTTCAGCTCTGCAACAGACAAAAAGAAATTTGACCAACTTGATCAAAAAGTGTTACACAAAATGAGATTGTACAGCATTACATTCGAAAAGTATCTAACTTACCCCACATCGCAAACTTTTATTTGATTACAGAAAGTTCGACCTATCCACGATTCCCAAACCACCCTGAACACATGTGATCTTAAGTCAAGCGTTATAATTTGGCTTTTGGAATGAACAGCATTGTTTTTTTCAGTTTAATAAATTGGCACATTTATTAAATACCCTGCCCACCCAGCAGTAAAAATGAGTACACCTCAGCTAGCCAAGCGGCAGGTCTGTGCGGTGTCTAGTCAACATTCAAGATACCTGGCCAAGAAGTGCGGTGAATGTGGAAGTACATCTCAAAATACACTCTCGTGGAGAGTTCTATTCGGTGGCATGAGCAAGAAATTTGCAGGGCTGCAGATTGACCTAGTTTTTTTGTCTCATGAATGAAATAAAAACATTTTTTTAAACCAAGGGTGGCTGTATCAAATGATTTACCAGGGAGCGGGTGACCATCCTACTCCAGCCTGAGAAGCTCCACATCAAACAAGAGTGTGGCATTGGGTGGGATGACACCAGGATGCCCAATGGCACCGTACGCAAAATCAGGCGAGCACGTCAGTCGTGCTCGCTGCCCAACGCTCATCTAGGCAAAGAGAACACAGCATTACATTTCTGCATTGCGGCAATCCAACGTGGCCAAAGTCAATGCAACTTCTCATTAAGATTCATAGTTAGACAAAACGAGACTACGCATATTTAAAAAAATTACCATAAAGCAAAAAGTATGCATTTGATAAAAAAAAACATTTAGTCATCTAATCTGCAAATGCTACAAAATGTTGACTGAATTAGCGAGTTACAACAGTGACAACCAAGTCAACATTTTATTTGTTCCAACATTTTAGTTACTCAATGGATTTATTTAAACAATCCTCACTGTTTACTTAAGCTGTCAGTTACTTAATAGCATTTATTTTAATGTTTAAAAAGGTTTTTTTCTTTTGCGCTTGCCTAAAAAACACGATGGTGAAACAGGGGTGCACCAAATAGCATCTTTTACGATCCTGCCAAATAATGAATACGTAGTTAGGTATCTGGCTGGATCGGAATTCAAAGCCTCACCCACTTCACCGAGCAGCCAGGCCTACTACAGTGAGACACCCACCCCCCCCTTTGTGTGCGTGGCCACATTCAAACCGTTAAAAGCAAAGCATAATTCTTAACGAAAGTTGAGGCTAAAAGTATTTGTTAATGTTAATGTATTAACTGTCACTTTCTAAATGTTGTGGTGTTTGCCTCCATGCTTAAAATGGTTCCTTGTATGCATATTTGGTTACCTGGGCCACGCCTTCCTCCCAGCCACGAATGACTTCCTGCTTGCCTATCTTAAACTTGAATGGCTTATCTCGGTCACGAGATGAGTCAAACTTCTTGCCATCCTCAAGAGTGCCTGGGAAAGCAAAGCACAGTTTATAATTAAATGTAAATTACCAATCCAATAAAATTAGTGTGTTACATATGGGATGAAACTCCAATGACAATCATTGGTAAGATTAGTATTTGCAATATAAGAGCAAGGCCTTTAAAATAACACTGTTTCACATGCGATTATCGTTTGCTTGCACATTTAGGTGCATTAACAAATTGGTTGATGAACCCATCTGGTTTAATACAATCTTCTGGCTACCTCGCAGTCGAGCATGTTTGGCAATTCCACAAATCTTTGTTTCCAATGTTCTGGATTAAAAAGGTTCATTCTACCACACTCCATACATATTTATGTGAATGTTATGTAATATTTGTTATCTTTGAATTTACATACTTCCCTCCAAAAGGGCACTTGAAATATTATTTTATTAATATACTTTGGTTAGAATTATGAGCATGTCGGAAAGCTGATAGGATCTAAGAAAATAAGAGCACTCCGTTATTAAAAGCATGCAGCAATCCATTTACAAATGTTTGACATTCCACATATTACTCATTGGTTTTTTCGGTAAAGTCACGTATGTAGCAAAATTATATTAAAATATTTTACTACATACGTGACTTTACCGAAAAAAACCAATGAGTAATTTATGCAGTCACGAAAGCTTTAATTCTTTATTCCACATATTGCATTACAAGTACTGTCTGCCACAGCAGTGGGTAAGTTCTAGGCAGACAACTGTGGTGAATAGTGACCTCCAACAGCAGATGTCACGTGAACCCATAACAATGCAAGGTAAACAAATTAAATATCGTAGATGCACAATTCCAGTAATTTATCCTGAGCGTAAAAAAATATTATATCAATTAACCGAAGCACTGCCACAATCCTAGTAAGTTTTTGATGACAATTTTGCAAATTCTTTAACCATGCGAGTGCTAAAATACCATGGACAGGATTATAAAAGCAACAATAATACATGGCTAGCCACTGGTATTTTTATTATTTTATTCCCATTCTACGTGACTTTACCGAAAGAACCCAGAAGACGAATCCCTGCAGTCACGAAACCTTTAAATCGAAAAATGGCCTTCATAGTCAGGCTCGATTAGCATTTATGCTTAAGATAAAATGTATAAATGAGAAAAAAATAACTGGTGGGTGTTAAAAACAAACTGACAACCCGTAGTCTGCTTGAATTAGCCATTTGCTAGCAGTTAATAGTTTATGATCAAGATGTCGAGACCAAGTTTAGACGCAGCCACACCTCGCCTGTACCCTTTGCCATCTGTTGCTCAGTAGAGACGACCACCAAGAACTGCTCTCACACCATCACACCCCGTTGTTGCCGGACAAGCAGTCAATCAAGGGTGAATTGGACCTTACGACGATAACAGCAGCATCATCACCCACGACGTCTCCTTGTAAAGCCCCGTGTGTGATCATGATTGCTAATTGGGAGGCCCACACTATCGACTGCTCTCTACGACTTCCCCACGTGACTATTTATAGCCGACCCACGCGGCCATCCCTCGTCGCTCCGCCCACCCTCGTCAAGCCGATGATGCCGTCGTGGGTTTTCAATGCGTTCCGTTGGATGCACGCTCACGGATTGCCATTGGTTATTTTTTCGATTCACATGTTACCACTACAGTTCGTTAAGTTGAGCATTACGATGCAGAGGTTATAGTTTTTATATATATTAAAAAGGATTTCCTTACATGTGTATTAGTATGGCTAATATGTATGTAACCAACCGTGCGTGCACTTACCCTGCAACTAGATGAATTGTCAAGATTCAGCGTATAAATTAGTTTCCAGCATCCATTTATTTTAAACCGTTTGTTTTGTGACCGCCTAATTCTATCTCATTTGTATTGTCCGTCTCGTCTGCACCACGTCATTTATTGACTTGCTCTTTTTACCAGGCCAACTGTATATTAGTATTTAATGTGCATAGAGAGGAAATAACATTCCCGCTCGCAAGAATATATCATAAATGCAATCAGTGATTGTAATTGAAGCATCGTTGTCGCCCAGTAATTGCCGGCATGCCTTGTGTCATCACCTCACACTGACGGCCACTCTTGCTGTTGCTAAACGGCGCATGTCTGGATGGAAACATCGCATCAATGACATCTGAACCGATGCTGACCCACCATCCACCACCCATAGAGAGTAGTGGTACAGTATGGTCAAATAACCCACACGACTGACACGGGAGTGAGGAGGCCTTCATCCAGCAGTGGAGTGATGTGTGCATTATTGAACCATACACACCACAACCGGGTCAGCGATGCTTCAGAGCCGGCCATTACCGGGTGCGTCAAATGCATGACTTCTGTTGAGATGAATTCCTCGTGGCTTTTATGAACGTGCGTTACTCAGTGTTGCGCGCTGCAACCAGGCGCAACATCCACGAGAGTACTACACCACCGCAATTCTACCCCCCATTCTACATCACATATCCACCATCCCTCCCCATCAGCGCCCCCCAAGGCTTGGTGGGCGGATGCTGCCTGCAATGCGGCCATGTCGGTCTGTGCGCAACCACGCTACGACCGCCCTCCCTTCCCCGTGGCCCTGCCGACACCTGCCCTCCCTGCCTGCCTGCCCACCCGACCGCGCTCAGGGTGGAGGGGGGCGGGCAGCAGCAGCTGCTGCGAGAGCCTCTCGGGTCGTGAAGCAGGCGGGGGGTTGATGGTCGGCGAGATGGTGGAATGGTTTGCAGAGCACACGTTGATGTACCGGGTTGGAAACAATTCCCTATACCGCTATAGGTCCATTTAATGGGTGCGAGCATCATAAAAGCAGTAGCGAAAGCAGAAGTCTCGCCAATAATCATCGGTAACTACAGTCGGGCGTTGCACCGGCGAGAAGCAGGGACTTTTAAGGCAACCAATGAATCGTGATCAGCAGCGGCACAATCGCCACCACGGTTACCACCATGGCCACCAGCATAGACATCACCACAGCACTACCATAAACACCGCCATTCATGACAACTA